AGAGAGACAGAGATAGAGATAGACACACAGAGAAATAGAGAGACAGACACACAGAGAAATAGAGATAGAGACAGACAAAGAGAGACAGACTGCCATGTGTACGTGCCTCGTATAACTAAGAACAGTTTAGTCAGTTAGGTGTGGTGGCTCACGCCTTTTCTCTCAGCACTCAGGAGCTCGGGAGGCAGAGGCAGGCAGAGCTCTGTGAGCTGGAGGCCAGCCTGCTTTACATGTCCACAATAGCCAGGAATACAGAGACCCTATCTTAGGAGGTTTAAAAAAAAAAAAGGAACATACTTTGAAGGTAGCAACACTATCTGATTATAAGCCTTATCCTGTATGGTCTTGGTTATCACCACATTGTTTAAAACTAATAGCAAAAGTGGACAGCTAATCCAAATGCTAAAGTAATTAATAGCAGGGGATTCACTTTCCATAACATAAAAGAAAACCTGAAAACTCTTTCTGGATATTTGCAGAAGAAATAACCCCATTATTCTTTAGCTGGAATGATCTAGACTCTTAAAGGAACGGTGGGTTGTTTCCACTCTTCATTGCTGCACTGTGGATTGGAGCCATTCATAAAGAAACTCTGTAGAGGTGAAATGATACATTCCCAGAGTTCTCTTTGGTGGTTTTCAACTTGGAACTGTTGTGTGGTATAGATGCCAGGAGTGTATTTTTCGAAGCTGTCTTTGCCTTTGTAATTAATAATAATAATAATAATGTCATGTTTATGTATTTTTGAAGTTATCACCACCTTTGTAAATAATAATAATAATAATAATGCCACGTTTATGTATTTTTGAAGTTATCTCCACCTTTGTAAATAATAATAATAATAATAATAATAATAATAATAATAATAATACAACCGATACTCTCCTGATGGTTCTGAATCATTCATAACCTACTCTCACACTTTCCATCTCTATCAGAACCCACTTTCTGACACTGTGAATAGGCAATCCTTTGTAGGGACTGTGAATGAAGTATCCAATATTGTTCTATAAGACACAGCTAACTTCACATAAAAGCTTAATCGCAGTTTCTCCTTGTGAACACTTTTAAATTTATTGTTAATATATACATATATGGTATATATACATATATGGTATGTAGGCATGTGTGCCAGGGCACATGAGTAGAGGTCAGAGGGCAACTTCGTGTATTCCTGCCATCTCTATGGGGGTTTTATGTCACCAGGCTTTCATGCGTTTCCTGTCCAACCATCTCACTTATGTGATCTCTGCCCCTCCCCCTCCCCCTCTTTTATTCCCCCTTCCCCTTAATTAGTCTAGACCTAGAAAAACTAAGCAAATGAATTTCCATGTATGTTTAGTGGGAAATAAATTAAGGGGAACGAAGTGTTATCTGTATGCTGTTAGGACAGTGATAACTGGCCTGTTTTCTGGTGGGCTGGGACATAGGTAACAGTTAATTTTGGAGGTGAAGTGTCTTTAAGAATAAGGACATGCACATACCATATTCACTTTCTGCTGTGTAAAGTGGCCAGCAGGGTTACTTAGCACAGAAGGCATGTATTGTACATGTGCCACTATTAAAATACAGCGCCTCTGTCTTTCTGTATCTCTTTGTGCACCTTTGGTTGTCATGTCAAAAAGAAGGTGTCTTTATTTTATATTTTTATTTTATGTTGTATGAAAAAGGGTTTTACATTCCTGGGGTACCTTCATCTTGCTATGTAGCAAAGGAAGACCTTGAACTTCTGATCTTCCTGCCTCCATCTGTTTACTGTTGTTTTGTTTTAATTTTTTTGTTTTTTTTTTGTTTTTGTTTGTTTTTTGAGACAAGGCTTCTCTGTATAACAGCTCTGGCTGTCCTGGAACTTGCTTTGTAGCCCAGGCTGGCCTCAAACTCACAGAGATCCACCTGCCGCTGCCTCCTGAGTGCTGGGATTAGAGGTGTGCACCATCACCACCCCACTTATTTTTTGTTTTATTTTATTTTATTCTATTGAGGAGACAGGATGTTGCTGTGTAGCCCAGGCTGTCTCAAATTCCAGATCCTCCTACTTTAGCTCCCCAAGGCTAGGATCCTAGGCATATTCCCCTGAACCTAGTTTAAAAGGAAGGTTATTATTAAAATGATGACTTGATTTGGGAATAGGGTCAATATTTAAAGGGATATTGTTGAGATTTTTGTCAGGGCAATATTCTGAAAAGGCTCTCGGCAGCCCCCAATCGCCATTAATTTCCCGTATGTGCTTAGTAAATCAGAGGACTAAACACACATTTTTATGAGTCTTAAACTTGGCAGATTCCTACTTTTCTGTGATACAGAATGAAATTTAAGGTGGAGCTGCTTCCTCCCTGGTTTTGGAGAATGGAGGGTTAAGGATGACTCAGACTTGACAACCACTAGTGATGTCTGGAGTCCTGGTGTTTCTGGGGTGTTTGCCATGTGCTGCTTTGAATGAATGACTTGAGTGGGAATATTAAGAGTTTCCTTCCTGACTTGACTTCTTTCAGAATCCTAGTGCTGTCGACATTCCTTTACGGTAGCCTTATTTGAAAAACACTCATCTTATGTAGCAGGGCACATCTTTTAAGAGTAAGTGATCAAGCTATAAATGGAACACTCCAATGATGAAAGCTGCTTGGAAATGATCTCTTACCGTGAATTTTCTCTGCCGTTGTAGTGCACTATTAAATGCATTAAAAAAAAATCACAACACTTATCTAAGAGTCTAATTGAGAAGAATATTGCCTTGGGAAATTGCTCTGCCCAAGACAACTGCCGCTCTGTTTCTTTTCAGATTTAAAAACCCAAGTCCCACTTCACCGGCTGCAAACAGTAATTACCTCTTGTGAAATGAGCTGAGGTCCTTAAAGGAGTCTGCCGGCTTCCCGGGATCTTTCCCGGGGTGAGCAGGGATGAGGGGCTGATAACCCAGCTGCCTAGGAACTGAGCAGGGCCGGCTGCAAACTCCTCAGCTGTTGACAGGCCGGCCTCGCTGAGAACACTGGTTAAATATAGCACGCGCAGCTCAGCTCCCCAACAAAGTCACCGCGCTGACAGTGTGCGGGAGCAGCAGAGGAGAAACCTAATCTCAGAACCCAACAACACCTAGCAACAGTTGAAAAAACTTTGAAACAAAAGTCGGGTGTGTGAGATAGGCGGCTTCCAATTCCTGCTGATCCCGACCGAAGGAGAGAGAAGCTGCAGCTATTCTGTGCCGTTTCCTGTATGACTTCAGCGACTGGCTAGTTAGTCCCAGCAGAGTGGGAAAAGCGTTTTCCTCAGCCTTCTTTTGGGCTGGCTAGTTTTCCAGGACTCAGTCTTGGGCTGTGGGGCAAGCCACTGGGTTCTTCAAGGGATAAACCCTCCGAGAAAGGATACATCTTTGGTTAAAGAGCTGCCAGCAGGTAAGAACCCCCTGCAACCCCGGCTCCCCTCCCCAAGAAGATATTTACTCTGTTAAGAAATCTCTTTCCACAAGAAGACAATTCGCTCCAATTCTACTTTGTCTCTAATGCTTGGACTTCTCCTGTTCTATGATGGGACAGCACGTGTAGAAATTATTATAATCTGTGTGAATTATTATTTTTTTTTTTTAAAAAATCAGAAACTTCTCTTTCTCAGTCACAGTGATTCCCTTTTAAACACAATGTTTTGTGATGTCTTCATAGCGGTCAAGCTGGGCCTGCTGAGTTAGTTATTCATGTTCTTGCAGGTAATAGGAATATGATGAATGTCTAGTGCCTTTCACAACCAGAGTAGCTAAGCCATGGAAGGGACATTTCCTCCGGGGCAAAATAGCTTTTCCTTTTTGAAAATAGCTAAACAGCTTGTGTGGTAACTGAGGAAAGTCCTGTCTGGTGTCCCTGTGGCTGTGCTGTTGACCCGCTTCTTTGTGCCGCTGCTGGGTTTGCCGGGTTCTCTGATTGCGCGGACACCTTGTGCTGGGTCTGACCTCATTTGCCTGCAGTTGCCCAAATGCTTCTGACTCGAACAAAATATGCCTGCTGCTGATTCGCTGCTTTTGCAGTAGTTGAATATTCAGGAGAATGTTGTGTTAATTAAACTAATTAAATGGAGCGATTGCTTTTGTGAGAGTATGGTAGATTCCACTTTAAGGAACTTAGACCGAATTTTTTTTAGGAAGAAAAAAAACCCTTCCATAAGCTGCATGGGTGTAAGAGTGTGTTTCCAGTAGTATGAAGGAAGTTCTCATAGCCTTTGAGAGTGTATTGTCTCCCCGTTCACGAGGTGACATGTACCCTAATCAGAATTGCTTACAGTGAACAAGTTCATGTTCAGTTTCACAACTTGTAGCTACACACAGCTGATGTAGTCAGTATTGATTTCTGGTGGTCTGTAGTTGGGGCCGAATTTGCATAAGAGGATGGATTATTTCTTCAAATAATCCAGAGAGTTTGGATGAATAAACCTAAGGATAATATCAAAGAAAATACTGAAGAAAAAATTTTTAAAAGAAAGTATTTTAACACTGGACATGGAGGCTCCTGCTTGTAATCCAGCACTGGGGAGACTGAGGCAGGAAGATTGCTGTGAGTGCAAAGCCAACCTGAGCTACCCAGCAAGTTTTAGCTCAGTCTGGCCTCTAGAGTGAGACTCCACCTTCAAAACAAGGCAAAACAAAACAGCAAACATGTTTGTGTCTATTTTGTCAGTGGGAAAAAAGAATTTCCATTAACCAGTGTGGAAATTTTTTTTCTATGACAAATGAGAATATGTAAGCCTTTTTGGTAAATGTTCTATTCTAAGACTAGTGGATGGATGATTATACAGTTTGTGTTTAGGAAAAAGAAATAACACTGTTATTTCAATGTATATCATGTACATAGATCTGATTACATGATTAGTTTGCAAAGTAAATGAAGCTAATCCTATGTAATCAACATATACAAATAATAGTGAGTGTGCATGCTAGTTGCCTCTGAGAGGGAGAGAGAACTTAGGGTACTTTGCTGGAAATAAAATATCGTTGTCTTGAAAGACTTATGAAAAGTCAGAACTAGATGCTCCACATTTTTCTTGTCTTAATCCTAGGAAGGGTCACATTGCTGGCTTCCACATGCCTCGGGAAGGCCAGAATCTCCCATTGGTTTGAGGCATTCGATTTTCTCTGGCTCAGTGCGACAGCTTTTAGATAACAGCACAGTGCTTGGCCCTGAGTGGAAGCCATGTCTGCTGAAGTGGAGTTTTGAGTATCATTAATTGTCTTCATGGTTCTAAGTTTCCCCTTGAGAATTAAAAGGTGATAAATTAAACCATGTGGTTTCCTCCACTGTCTGAACAGAATAGCACACCCTGCAAATACACAGATCCATCCCCTGACTGATTTAAGTGCGTTTTTGTGTGCTGTTTTGGAAGTGCCCCCTCTTCCCTTTCCCTGTAGGAGTGCTTGGACTCTTGCTGTTCTCTTTAGCCCTTGTCTGGATGTGCCACTGCTACTCACTTTCAGCCTCATTACCATCCAAGCCACACCACTGGTGATCAAGGGACTAACTTTCTCTCCACTTTGCTGTGCTTGTCTGTCTACACTTTGGTTATCCCCAAGGGGTGGGGTGGGGGATTCCTTGTTCCTGCCAAGGCTGGGCATTTTGAAAACCTTCCATCATCTGGCACCTACTTAACTTTTCCAGTTTCGTTCCCACTACTCAGCAGCAAGGTCCCTTGGCTTCAGGTACTTCAGGTTATGGACCATTCTGTAAACACAGGAACAGTGAATACTTTAAGACCTTGCCCTTCCTCATGCCGTTCACCTTGCCTGGGACACACTCTGCTCCTGTAGAGACCTTGTTTATCCTTTCAGACGCAGACCATCTTCACAGAGATTCCGAAATGACTCCTTAGTTTGGAAACACGGATGCTGTTTATGTTAGAGTTCCTCATGGTAGGCGTGGCCTCATTAAAGCTGGGACTGTTTTGAGAAATCTTCTGAAGAGCTCTGGAGCTTCTTGGCCCCATGTACACTGTGGACAATCTATTAACTTCTTAGGTTCAAGATTCCTAATATGAGTATATGAGAGTGTATAAAATAAAAAAAACCAACTAGAAGTATGGTTAAGAGTGTTTTACCTAAATTTTTTCTTAGTGAAAATCTTCATAGCTTTACCAATTTTAACCATGTTTACACATCTGACTGTGGAGATGATATTGCATGCCTCACAAATGAAACCAAAAGGACATCTATCTACCTACTCCTGTATATGAACGTAGACTTCTAAACCTCTAAATTCTGTGATTCATATTTTTAAAAGAGCCAAATTTCTTATATATTTGGTCAATTTATTTAAATCATGACTCTTTCTATTTATGAGTCATGATGAAAGTCTGTCCATGAACAATAAAACATTTAAGCTATCATGGTCATTTTAGATATTTTCTCCCTAGATGGTTAAAGCACAGATGTTTCTTGGTACTACTTTCAATCACTCATGAAACCTGCAGCCTTGCTGAGAGACAGCAAGAATGCACATGGCTTTTGAAACTATTTGCTCCATATTCATCAGAACAAAAGCATTCTCTTAATAGTCTAAGGTGGTTTTCTACTGGGATTTGTGAAATAATTAATATACTCATTAAGCAATGGTCTCCACATGGCTTATAGTTTTTAATTATGAAATGTTGGGGTTTATGTATTCTAAGCAGTGTACTTTGTGGTTTTCCTTTTAAATGAGCATTCCTCTTTAGAAATGTTTTTATTTTTATTATTCTTAATGTGTGTGTGTAAGTGTGTGTGTGTGTGTGTGTGTGTGTGTGTGTGTGTGTGTGTGTGTGCAGATACCTCATGAGGTCAGAGGTATAGGATCCCATTGGAGCTGGAGTTGCAAGCCACTGTGAGCTACCTGATGTGGGTGCTCAGAATTAAACTCAGATCCAATGCAAGAGAAATATATGATCCTCCACAGATTTATCTATTTTCATTTATATGTGTGTGTTTGTATCTGTGTGAATGTATGCCATATGTGTGATGATGCCTGATGATTCCCTGGAGCCCTGAGCTACACACCATGACTGTTGGGTGTTGGTAATGAACTCTGCATGAGCAGAAAGTACTCTTAACCACAGGGCTTCTCTCCAGCCTTAAGATAAGCACTTAAAAAAAAGATAATAATGGGTATAATATGTGCCTCAGACTTAGAGTATTATAGAGTTTAATACACACAAGTTACTTACTTTTCTAACCTTGTGTTTTTAAATAGAAAGCTATGGGTCTGATGGGCAAGCTTAGGTTAATATATACCTTAACAAAAATGGTTAAGAGAACAATTATTGGTAACAACTTAGAAAAATGATATAAAAGTCTACCTTATGTATTAATTTATATAGTATTTTACTATGTGTCAACAAAATGAAAGATGAGCTAATGAAATAGTTTGTTTCCTTGAATCTGACTGAAGTTCTAACAGTAAGGAAACGGTCATGGACGAGGGGTCGGGAACATCAAGTGACAGGCAAGCCTGGTGACCCAGACTCAGGTTTCAGCTCACTGTGGCTTTGGGCCGATTCCCTGGCTTCAGTTTCCTTACCTGAGACTTACAGTGTTTTGTCCTCATAGCGTTGTTCGAAGATCGAAGAGCTAATAGCATAGGTATGCGTCTGATATGTTGTCCAATCAATTCAGTCTCACCTTTCCTGTCACTTTTTAAGTGTTTTGTTTATTTCAATCCTCGTTGCACGCCAAGTTCTCAGATGGCTTGTAGACTGAAACACACCATGGCAAGCAAGGGAGGGGGACTCATTCTTTACCTTGGAATCTGGGTTGGGACGGAGTACTGCTGCTGGGCGCCCTAAGCAAACACAGTTTGAGCAGCAGCCAATAATTCCCGATGGAATTTAGGCTGCTGCCTCTCCCCCTCCCCCGTTATCACTCAGCAGTCCTGTGTCTTCTAGAGGCATTACTAAAAAGGTTAAGAAATCACCCTCAGGATAGACTGTTCTTGTTTCTATATTTGCACTTGGAGATAAAATGTCTTTATACTTAGGGCTTGGCTGTCTCTTTCATAGCGAGCTACGCTGGGTAATGCATAGCAATGCAGACTTCCATGGAGGGGGTGATATTAAATTTATTATTCTCTACTTTTTTCTTCCCTTAGATGATTTGTTTGGTTTCACTAACTTAGTAACAGATAACATGAAAAGACCAAAAAAGGTCGTCTTAGGCTAACTTCAACTTTATCAAGTAGAAATGAATTCCTGCTATTCATTGCTCTTAATCCTAGTCAGTCTTAAACATGATAAGAAAGTCTGCCACAAGACAAACAAAATTGGCGTCACATTACAAAGATGTTTATGCATATGCTGTACATTGTGTACACCTAATTTAACAAATATAGGAAGCATTCTCATGGTGCGGGGGTGAGGGGGGAGTTTCTAAGTAGTTAGAGTATCAGGA